TTTACCATGCCATTCGATGACCTAGGATCCATTATGCTAGCGAGAATTCTTGAAAACGAAGAAGCTCCAGTCACTGACAAACAAAGAGTTCTTTTTGTAGTACCTGAAACCGAAAACACATGCCATGACAGTCTCCGCGGTCACAAACATTTGCATGAGGACTCCAATGATTCGGCTCCTCATGAGGGGTAGAATAAGAGGCAACGGATACTCGAGCATGGTGCTTCATCTAGCCAACAACCCCAAACTTGAACCCTCAAACAACCTAGATTAAATGCAAGAATTCTCTCAAGGATGCAAATTTTAAGGGGGAGTTTTCAAAGTTCTCCTCCCAAGCGCCAAACATCGTCAAAGACATCCTACTCAGTGCTCCAGTTGAGGGGGAGTACAGAGAGAGAATAAAGAAACATATCAATGAGAGAGATGTCCTCATGGCTTAGTAAACCCAACTAAGCCTACCCAAGGGACAAAGCCGAGAGTGAGTGAATATTATGAGAGTGAGGAAGCAGAAGGCTCCGATGAGCAAGAAGACAATAATCAATGACAAATCTGCTACCTCAAATGAGCTATCAATCGAGGAATCAATCCCAGTCACTCAAATACTCCGGACAATCCCCATAGGTTCAGGACTGAATTTATTCAGATCCCGGGTAGAAGTCGCTGCATTTTGTCCAAACAGCGCGTGCACAACCCTACCCTAGACCACTCACCTGTCTCCCAACAGACATGTGTTTAATCACTGTTCACGGGGAACCTCATCTCTTATCACCGTCTCCTTCTGAGGCGACTGATACTGACTACAGTGGCCCTCAGCCCCATGCCACTGAACTTTCATTGATCACGTTGTGTCTAGTTATCTCACTCCTAAATGTTTTGAATTTTCTAGGACACAGACACATTTTTAGAGTCAGTTGCAGGTCCAAGTGACCATGCGAGAACTTCCATAGGGCTCATCTTATATAGATGTGGACCGATGATTGGAAGGAAGTCCTGATGTTGCAACATAGAAATCACCAACATTTTCAGGCCATCATTTAGAGTTCATCTCTATAGTGATGATAACGGGTGTCTACACGACCCCGGGGGGCTAGAATTATCCATGTTGATCCTAGTGATCATGCCATAACAACCAGAGTGACATCTACTTCAGATGTTTCACAATGATTGGTTGGAAGTCCTGTTAGAGCTACAATGTTTCTATCATTATATAACAGGCCACAAATCAATGTTTACATTGATGTTGTGTCAACGGAACACCACAGTGTCTCCGGTTCTTATCTTTTCATTTTTTTTGCATTTTCAGTTTTCCAGAATAAAACAATAAAGGCATGACATCCCGATTCATGGGATCGTCATGAGGGGGAGAGTGGTCCACATGCTGTTTACACTCAAAAACCATTCCCGGACACTCCTCTCTTCCAACTAAAAATGACGGCTCTCCACTCTTTCAGATTCATCAACTACCAAGTCAGCTTCAGATCTAATGGTCAGCTATGCTCACAAGTCAACCATCATTTTCCGCTGTGCTTCCGACAATTGTTCCTCAAAAGCATTCACGATCGAATAGTCAGAAAAGGCTACATTCTGGAGGATACAGAGGCCGGATGATCAAATATTGAAGATGAATTCCTTGTGCGCCTAGATCTCTTTAGAACATTCATTCTAGAAGACGCCATATGACTTCATTCAAGCTGATCAAGAGCAGTTTCTGGAAAGCAAGGATTAAAAGCAAGATTTTGAAGAATCCCTCAACTCCCGACATCAAAGAACAAATTGAATAAATAACACCAAGGGGAAGATTGTAAGGATTTTTTCATGAAGCCTTTCCAAGAAGATAAAAGAAGTTGAGACCAAAGAAAGAAGAAATTGAAAGAATTTGACCGAATGAAGGCGGTGCTAGACGCAATCAACGCTCGACTCGAAAAGAGGAGAATGCTGCGCCAATATGAACATGCTCTAGCACTGCAAAGCAATTACTACAAGAGGCAGAAGGATCCACAAGAGCTGACAAAGAACATCTGATCACAAAGGGGGAGATTGTTAGAGATATTTTCATGTATTGTGATCAATGTTTTATCTAGCCTCTTGGTAGTATTTATTGTGTATTTAATAGGCCTTAAATGGAAAAGGCTACTAAGCTAAATTAGGAATGGGCCTCCTAAAAAGGAGAGCCCATATCATTGTAAAACCTACCATTCTAAGGAGGCTATAAATAGACCCCTTAGGAATGGCTAGGTCAAGCTTTCCTCCCTTAGAAAAATTCCCTGCGCATAGAATAGAGCCTACGGAAGTTTTACGCTACATATTCTTCATCTTTATGTAAACTTTCTGGCTATCAATGGAAAGCTTCTTCTACTCCTATTAATCAGATCTTATACATTATAGAGTAGAAATAGGGACCAACAGTTTTACTACTTTAGTCCACTTTTATATTTATTGTTTGTTTGTAATTGTATTTGTTATTTGAGTTCACCTCGAAAAGGCATTAATATTCTACTGATTTCATTGTTATTTGTCCATAGTAAAATACTAATATTACCGGTCATTTATTACTACATTTTAAAGGATACTAGTACCTCGGAGCTATTAAACCTTTTTGCTTGGCCATTGATGCCTATTTTAAACATTTATGACTTTGTTATTTAAATTTAGTGTATGAACATTGAGATATCATGTGTGTATAATGTAATGCTTATAATTTCGACAATTTTTGTCATGGGTTGGAATTTGAATTTTTTGTGTAGCTGAAGGTAAAATGTGTTCATTTTAGGAGTGTAAGCAATAATTGTACTTAGATTTTGATGATGCTAGGATAGATTAGAATCTTAAAGTACCCCTTTAGAAATCTTGTATTAGATTTTTTACTTTGTAAGTATTAGCATAGTCGACTGGTCAGAGACCCTCATGGTTCTCTCATAAGAGTTGCTCTTCAGAGTTGCTAGCAGAGTTGCTCTTCAGAGAAGCGTCAGAGTTGCTAGCAGAGCTGATCCTCAGGAAAGCATCAGAGCTCTACTACTAGAGCTGATTCTCAGAGAAGCACCAGAGTTTGACATCAAGCTTCATAAGAACTCAACTTCAGAATGCCATCAGAGAAACTCATCAGACCTGGATGGACACTTAGAAGATTTCGAAGCTACTTTCAACAGCCGTGTAACTAACGGGAAATTCCCTAATGGCTAGAAGACATTTCGCAAATGGAAAGCATTTAATGCTCATTTAATGAGCCTGATACGTTGTGGAGTAATTGCAGATGATTGACCGAGATTCCTGGAGAATATTATACAAAAATAGAAACATGCCAAATATGCGGGTCCAACCGGTCAACTCTGCAGTACGCGCATTTAATGCAGTTGTCTCCTCCTCCAACGGGAAGACAACCCCAGTATAAAAGATACTCGATGAAGAACAACCGGACAACTTTGCTACAATCTTGCTAACACTTTCTTGAGATTCAAATTCCAACTCCATCAACAAGAAAAGCCAACGTTGGGAAGATCTTCAGTTTATATACTCTTCATCACCAACAAGAGCAAAGTTCCTACTGTTCTTCAACAACTTCAAGCACTTCATCAACACATCTATTGTAACGAAGCAAGTTGGAGAAAAACTCTGTTTTTCAAACATCTTCTGCAAAGAAGGACGTCCAATTAACTGGAGTAGTGAAGTGGGTATACTTCTGGGAAGCTCAGTGAAAGGACCAGCCATCAGGAAGCAGGACTGCATCCCGGTTGGCAACTAGGCTTGAAGAAGACGTGGAGAGCTTCTTAAGTTCTAGGGACTAAGGCGTTGTAACTGTCGTTTTACAAGCTTAGTGGAACAGTGGACTAGATCAGAGGAACGCGTTGTTCCTTGAACCACTATAAAAATCCCCAGTGTCATTTACTTTACTGCTTTTAATTCCTGCACTTAAGACTTTAACTGTTTAACTCTAAAGAACCTGGAATCTGTGTTCATCAGATCTTGTTCTAAGAGTCATCAGAAAGGCATTTGCCTTGGTATTTTCTTGAGGCTACCCGGACAGAACTCTAATCCGCTGCCAAGTCCAGTTCTGTTATCAGAACTCGACCATGTCTGTCACCAGACTCAGACCGCCTCTGATAAGTCATCTCTGACTTAGAAGAAAATCTGAAAATTCAGAACAGTCTATTCACCCCCCTACCCCCCTCTAGACTGTTCCTTGATAATTGCAATAGCATCTTGGATAGTTTTTGGGAGTGTTTGTTATTTGAAGTGATGTAATATGTAATTTTGGATGGGTTGAACATAGCATGTAATGTTTATCTTGAACTTCTGTTAATGAAGGAGTGGAGTAGTATGTTGAAGTTTAACTAATGTAATATTGTAATGTTTATGTCGAAGTTCTGTTAAAGATGTGTTACAGATGAACTAATGTTAATGTTAATGGTGTGGTTTAAAACACAAAAAGAATAGAAGCTAAAAACATGGATTATGTTCATGTGTTTTGGGAGGAACACCAAATGATCTAAATTGAAACAAAAAATGGAAGCCCTTGCAGCATTCTGTACTGGAAAGAATCAATGATAATGGATTGTTTTTCTCTATTCAATTAATCAACTTATCTAGGGTTTTCTGCTTCTTATAACCCTGACCATCAACAAATTGCTACTATTAGAATTTCTACCAGATAGTGAACCATACACACAACCATTGCACAGTGTACATAGTGTTTGCAAACTAAACATAACCTCCAAATAATACCATTTCAAAGATCTTGAAAAACTCCAAATAGTTTTCTCAAAGTAAGCATAACCTCCAAACTCTTCAAACTATATCATTTCAAATCATTTGACAGCCTCTAATTCTCAAAAATGGAACTCAAACATAAAGAGTAGCAAAAAAATAAAACTAAAGTAATCATAATCTCAAAACAGTTGAACATAACCTTTAACATAAGCACTTAAAATATCATTACTTCAACATCATCACAAGTCATTTGAAAAGTTGAACAACATCCAAAATACAACATCCAGAATACAACCCCAACATCATTCATCCAGTACATAAAACGAAGATTAACAACATCCAAAATACATTGACATCTAAGAAATCTATTACACAACATAATTGAAAGAGTTTGAACACAAAGTGCTTAGAAATCATTCATGACACAACATTCTTTCACACAGGTGCACTAACAACGCTTGATGGAGCATATCCATCCCCTGAAAGCAGTATGGGACCTCCTACTTGACCAGGTGACTGCAAAAAAAAACAAAGGAATTCATTTAGGACCACACCAATAAAAGAAACGGCAAATGAATAAGAAAATTAAGTCTCACATTCAGAATGGTGTTTCCCTGACCATCAACAAACACACCAAATCCCTGAGGAACCTGCATCGAAGTGATAAGCACACTAAATATAACATTGCTAAAGAAATTTGCATTAATATGAGTTATGCATACCTGATTGCCTCTCCCTTTAGATCTTCCTCTGCCCCTGCCTCTCATGAGCAGCCTCCCACCTCTCCCAGTTTGTGAAGGCTGGGCAGTGGCATTGCCATACTCGGTTTCACTTGCAGGCTCACCAGAAGGTTGTGCATTCTTCCTAGGTCTCCCCTTTGGTCTTTTAGGTTGATTTGAAACACTTGAGGTTGTATTTTTTGTCTTTGTCAGGACATTTCCTTTTGTTGTGTTGAGTGGACTTACAAATGCTACAACGCATTTGTAATCCATGCTTTGTTAGCTTATCAGGTTTCTTTGGATCTTCATGGGGATCCTTTCTCCTATTTTTCCTTGGTCTTCCAGGCCCAATTTTGATTGGTGGAGGATCTAACTCAGCCTCTTTTCTTGGCCAGTGCCTTTCACTAAGGCATGGAGAGATACATCCACTATATATCTTCATGTAGGTCTCCTTCTTATAATACTCACACACATAGTCTTCAGGGGCATGATGAAGAAAGAACATGCAAGCTACAGAATGACAACAAGGCACTCTGGTCAATTCCCACTTCCTACGGGTGCAAGTCGTTGAGATCAGATCTACAGTCATACTATCTAGCCTATGGTTCACTTGGAAAACCATGAGAGATGAAGGCATTGCTGCACAGTTGGCTGCTTCTTCCTTTTCCTTTTCTAGCTTTGCTTGAATCTTAGGACATATAATGTGGTGACTGACTTCCATTTGTTGCCTTTTCTGAACAATCCTTTGCATTAAAGCTGTCCTAATATCTTCCATCATGAATATTAAATGCTTTGTTCTAACATTTAGAATGTGACCGTTGAATGTCTCAGCCATATTGCTCACAATTACCTCACATTTGGTATGTGTTTGAATAAAACACCTGCATAATTTGGTTGGATCATATGCTTTGAAAGACTGAGTGGTTAATGGGCTCAGTACCTCCATTTCCTGTAAAGCTTCCTCATAGTCTGCTTGATTATAGGCCTTCACTATTTTCTAGAAAGCCATCTTAAGCTCATCCCCTTTATGATTTTTGTGCCAGTTGGCATAGATGTGCCTAACACAATGTTTGTGTTTTGCCTTAGGAAGGACTTTCTGTACTCCATTCAAAATAGCCTCTCAAGGAATTAATGACATAGTCAGTAAATAATAGGAAAAAATAAACAACATTTGATAAGATTATGGAAAATTTCACTAAAACACACTGGTGAAGCAGTAAAAGAGAAAAAATATGAGAGTTTTACCCGGTGTTCTTCAGAGATTATGGTAAGCTCAGAACCATATGTTTCACCTTTTGCTCTATTTAGTTGAATGAAGAACCATTCCCAGCTATTCACATTTGCTCGTTTGCATCTCTTCCAACAACAGGAAGTAAGACTCCACCCAAAAATGTTTTTAGGAAACACCCATCAACACACAAGACCTTTCTACACCCTTCTAGCCAACCTTGCTTAACACCATCAAAACAGACAAAAAGTCTCTAAAATACTGGTGGAAAGACTCTTAATTCTGGATTAACTTGAAGCTGGAAATGGCTGGTGGGACTGGCAATTGACAAGGCCTCAAGATACCTCCCAAGTTTGTTGTAGTGGTCCTTCATACTACCATGAAGTTTCCTATGCGCATTGTACTTAACTTTGTAAACAAAGTTCCTCTTAACAACCACTCTATATGCTCTGCGTATGGGTTCAATGATTTCCTTAGCTGGCCAATGGGGTTTTGATTTAAAAACTTCCAGAAACTGCTTAGCAACCCATGAAGATTTCAGTTGTTTGTTAGCTTCCATGTTTCTTTGACACCAGTGATCCCCCACAACTGATTTCACCGCAAAAGAGCCTGTTGTACTGTCCCAACTAGCATATATCCTAAAGGGACACCCAGGTACACATATTGCACCTAACCTTTGTTGCCTTTTCTTATCACCAACACTGAACATTAGATTTCTGCCTTGGGCCACTGCAAATCTAACTACAACATCTCTAAATTTCTCTCTACTCTCAAATCTGGTTCCTACTTTCCACTCGAGTATTTTATAATCAGTTTGTTCATTAACAACTAGGATCTTTTCCCTCCTTTTTTTCAATTGATATTGTTCTTCATCTTCATCTGGTGTTAAAGTTTCCTCTTATGTGTCTTCATAGTCACTAATGTAGGCAAAGTCTTCCTCCTTTTCTTCTTGCACCCTTGCCTTACCTGATCTCTGATTTTGGCCTGGAAGTTTACCCTCACCAGCTTCTTTTTGAAGTGTAGCTGCAATCCCTAATATCTCGGCATTCCACCCCTTAACTTTATCCCTAACCCTTTGAAACTCTTCATCACTGGTATCATGATCTGATCCAACCAGACCCTCTTGTATGTTCTCCAGGTCTTCCTCCTCTGAAGTATCACCTTGGAAATCAGAATTCTTACCATTTATGCCATCATCTTCACTTGCAGGAGTGTACTCTGGGTCATCTGAGTCTTCTTCTTCCTCCCAGGTAAATGGGCTGCGGGGCCTGTCAGCCTGAAATGGCTCTGAATCAGTGGTCACAGCTTGTGAAGTCCCCACATGACCATCTTTGTCATTATTTAGGTTTGCAACAATGTCTTCATCTCTAACAATAGCCTTGACCTTAGATCCTCCCCTAGGACCTTAGATCCCACATATTCAATGACTTCTATTAAATGAGGCACATCAATTCCATGAATGACATAACAGTCAATGCATTTTGTCTTTAAGGCTACAACTATCATTTCCCTCACTTGTTCATCATGATAAGCCCTTCTCAATCCTTCTTCATAGCTCAGATTAGGTACCATGTAATAAATGGCATCAATATTACAATAATCCCCACATTTCTTAGCCAGCTCTTCTAACCAAAACCAACATAATTCGTCTGCATCCACATCAAACATTCTGAATTCACCTCCCACGTATTGTAGTCTACCCCTACTGTCCTTATTAAATACTCCCCCATGCCATATGCACAGTTTAACATGAGTTTCCCCTAAACCCTAAAACGTAACAACAATAACAGTCAAAACGAGATATGAATGAAATTTAGTTTCATAAGGTAAACCCTAAAAACTGTACCAACGAACACATTGAAATACAAATTAAAATTAACACCAACCACAACTGTCTGACCAAAGCAACGAAGACAATAACACAACAACGATAATAGTCAAAGCAATTTACCATTGTTCTTTCAGCTTTGCGTGGAGATAACCTTTCTTCAATCCCTTTTCGTTCCTCCAATCTCGGATGCCCAGACTCAATGTTTCTTGTGTAAGGTTTGTCTTCAATTGATCTAATGCTACAGACCGTTGTTAGGTAGGCAAAATTAAATTTTACCCGTTCAACCGGTTGCCCATGCACTGAGAGTGTTTGTGGAAGGTTACCCCTTTAATTGGTATTAATCCCGAATTACACATGGGAGGGGTTAATAATGGAAGACCGGAAATAGGTGGGATTATTAGTGTGAATTTTTCCATTTTTATACGAAGTACGTAGTATGCACGGAGTATTACGTAGTATGAGTAATAATCTTGACATCACTTCATTTCATTTCTGAATGTTAGTAGGACCCAATATTTTGTACTATTGTGAGGAGTTGGTATACCGTGGTATCACCCCACGGTGAGCACTGTGCTCCCACACCCAAAACGACGTAGTTTTGCACAACTTAAAAAAAAAACGCGTGAACAGTAATGCGTGAACAGTACACGCGTGTACAGTACCTGTTTTTTTGTCCCAATAGTATGAATAATGTAACTCGCGTGTAAAGATATGTAACTCACATTATTGATCAATGTAACTCAAGTTCATTCAAAATGTAACTTATCAAATATATACTATAAGAAACAAAACATTGATTTCAATGCAAACAATGAAAAAAAGAGTCTAACTACACAATTACTTTACGTAAATCGTGAATATGTTTTGTTTTTAATATAATGACCATCACAAGGATTTAAAAAAATCTTTTTTATTTGTTTCAATAGCAGAGGGTTATTTTTTTGATGTAACTCATGTTATTACAAATGTAACTCGCGCTGATGACAAATGTAATTTGCGCTTCAGAAGATGTAACTCGCTTATAGAAAAATGTAACTCAAACATAAAAATATGTAACTCACCCATGAGACGGTGTAATTCAAATATAAATTCAGGAATCATGTATATATGCAACTCACATATATGAAAATGTAAATCACACATAAAAATTTAATCACCTATTTTATCATATGTAAATAGAAATTAACAAACTCTATGTCTTAAAAAATACTAAAAGCATATTCGTATAAAAAGATAAAGATTTTTTTTTTTCAAAAATATATTATATAGAAAAGTAATTGTAATCATATTTGTAATATTTTAATAAAGGAGATGTGCAAAATTGAAAAAGAAAAGAAGTAAAAAGAAGAAAGAGAATTAGATCAGGAAGGAGGCAAGAGAACACAAAGTGGTACCTGTATATATAAGGAGGTTGACACGGTATAATTTGCATATTGTGAGTGTCTGACAATCCTACTCTATCATTTGAGGAGGTTAGATAGGATTCGCCCGTCCATCATCGTCGATCAGTGGATTGGGTAGGTGTCGGCGCATCATCCTCGCGGCATTGCCCAATGCTTTCCTAATATGCAAATGCTGTTTGGGGTTTAATTGAATCAGTAGCACCTGATCGATTATTAAATGGGCTCTTCACAGTCTTTGCAAGTTACCTCCGAGGATGAAGAAGAAGGAGAGGGCCGAGGAGATGAGGTAGCGCATCAGAGCGGCGGCCGCAACAGGGAGGACGAGAGGCAAGAATTAGCCGTCGGTGGCTCAAAGAAGGTTCTCCGACAAGAACCGGAGATACTGCCCTGCCATTCCTCCGCATCTCCTCTCTCCCCACAGCCATCCGCTCTTAGCACCCCCCGTCTGGGCCCCTCCATCAAAGTGTGGGACCCTTTCAATGTTCTAGCTCCCCCTCCCCCTCCCACTGATTTCCACCGCTCCGACGACAGATTTCTCACCGAGCTTTTCCTGATCAGCAATGCCGAGTGCCACATGAATCTGAGGCCTGATTTGATCGCCGGTCGGTGCCCTGACGCCGCCCTCACCCCTAATGGAAAGCGCCAATCCAGAGCATTGGCCGTTTTCCTCAAATCTCAAGGCGTTCACTTCACTTCTGTATATTCGTCTCCTCTAGATCGTGCGCGAGCAACTGCTGTTTCCGTATGTCAGGTAACTCCTATTTACTGCTTTAGTGTGTGTCTTCCAGCTGAAACATCTGAATACAATGAAACTGTGATTACAAGCAGCGACATTTATTATACGTACAATGAAACTGTGAAATACACATACGTCTTCACAACGGTTTACCTGGAGTTTAGAATTTAGTTTTATACAGCAAATAAGGCCTTGATGCACGAAGTTTAAAATAGGCTAAGGGGTTTCCGATAGCTACAATAGATTGGGATCAATATTGCTTGGAGGTGAAGGTGAGGTGTAAGGGTGTATTTCATGGGGTTGGCTTCACTAGCAGGCAGCGGCTACAGTGATGCAGGCAGCATCAAAGTTGGCAGTGATGTGGCCATGTCAGAGTCTATACTCATGCAGCTAATGGCAGACATCTTGATGGCAGATATGGGTTGGTGGAGAAATACAGACGCAGGCAGCAGTAGTAACTTTGATTTGATGGTGTCACCTGTACATTATGTTTGGTAATGGAAAGAAATGGAACGTAAAGAAAAGAGAGGAAAGAAGTTGAGTGAAAATAGATATTCCATGGTGATGCTTGGATGGAAGGAATAGGTGAAGGAAAGAAATAGTTGAAAGATAATTTCCATTAAATGGAAATGAAAGGAATACAAACTGTTTTTTTTGGATGATATCAATTGGTTTTTTACTTTTATTTATTAAAAAGAGGGAAACCTATCAATTTGGTCCTTGTACTATCATGAAAACGTCAATTAAGTCTTCAATTTTTTAAAAAATCAATCAAATCCCCGAACTTTGAAAAACGTTTAATCGAGTCTATTAGCAGGTTACCCGCCTTATTAGCAAGTCCACTTGCTGAAGTGGAACACATGTGGCAGCTCGATTAGCAGTGACTTTGCTAGCATCGCGCACACGCAGAAACCCAACCAACCATTTTCCAATGATGCGGCGCACATGTGAACTGCAATGTGTGTGGGTGACCTGCTGACATGTCACATGGCAGATGACCTGTTAATTGACTCAATTGAACGTTTTTTCAAAATTCAGGGATTTGTTGGTTTGTTTTAAAGAATGATGACTTAATTGACGTTTTTGTGATAGTACGAGGACGAAATTGACAGTTTTCCCTTAAAAAGATTATTCACTGAACATGCAAGAGAGGATACTTCAGGGAAAATGTGCAGTCTTTGATGGAGGATCATATTGATGTGCAGTCTTTGATGAAGGATCATAGACTTGAGAAAATGAACGCAAATCCTGGACAAAACATGTGCAACCAAGCACACGAGGCACACGAGAGAACAATGACTAGAGGGAACTAAAGCGGAGTACGGGATCTGATCATTAAGAACAAAAGAAGGCATACGATTGATAAGGTAGCAGGCAATGGATACAACGTCTACTTAAAATGGTTTAGGAACCCCATGTGAAATATTAAGGCTCGAGCTACTTCTAGTAGGTGATGATTCTTTAGTTCAGCTACACCATTTTGTTGGGGTGTATAGGGACATGAAGTGTGGTTGTAAAATCCTATGGCGAGATAGGTAAATCTGAAAAGTGCTAAATAAATAGTCCTTAGCATTAACACTTTTGAGAATGCGTATATTCTTATTAAACTGAGTTTGAATTTGAGCATGAAAGGTACAAAATGCAGTAAACACATCTGAATGGGATTTCAAAGGATAAAACCAAGTAACCCGAGAAAAATCATCCACAAATGTGATAAAATAACGATAACCAAGTTTGGAAACAACAGAACAAGGACCCACACATCAGTGTGAACTAAATCAAAACTAGACTCAACATTTTTATTTATTCGAGGAGGGAAAATTGTTCTGTGATGCTTAGCAAACTGACATGCTTCACACTCCAAAACAGACTCCTATGACAGACTAAGACACATTTTTTGTATTACAGAAAGAGATGGATGACCAAATTGACAATGAACTTTGAACAAAGACAAACTGGTGCATGCAAGTGACCTAGGCAGCAAGGATTCAAAAATATATAAGCCATTAACCAATCTGCCTTTACCAATAATTTGCTTCGTCACAAGATCCTGAAAAAGACAATGGGTGGGAAAGAAAATAACTTAACAATTGAGGGCTTTGGTAATCTGACCGGCTGAGATAAAATTAAATGGAAATTGAGATAAATATAAAACAGAAGATAGATAAAGGTTGGGAGAAAGAGTTGCTGTTTCAAGGCCTGGCTAAAGTAACATGAAACTGGTTGGCAAAAAATCAAACCTGTGACTGAGTTGCACGGTCTAGATTACCATGCCTGCACGGTGCGAATAACGTCCTGTGCCGCACAAACGAAAGCTGAATCAAACCACAGGGAGATCAGAATCGATCTTCAGAAAATACTTCCCAAAGAACATGTGTCTTTTTTTTGACTGTTGAGAACATGTGTCTCTTTGATACCATGCAAACTGAGTAATAGAGATTAAAGATGCAATATAATTACAGTTTCTTATTCATTGGGTGTAGTCAGTATAAATAAATACAAACCAGAGAATACAAAAAGGAAATTAAATCTGCCAGATATACATAGAATATTTAGTCCATCACATAGTATATATTAACAAAATATATTAACTACCATAAAAAGTATATATATATATAGAATATATTGACTATTAAATATGTATATTCTAACATAACTAACGGGTGAAAATACCAACCTTCTAAAACGCAAAGCAGTACCCAAAATCTGATAGGTACTCCAACAATAAACAGTAATGCAGAAGCAGCAAACCAGAAAATAGAAGAAGAATAAACAGAGTTGAGACTCTTCGAGAGGTCTCTCTCTTCCAGCCCAGATCTAACCAAATCCCAGCCTTCTTTCTACTTCTCTTCCTCCTGTTTTTATTCGTACCCAAGCCTCAGTCTGCCAACTCAGCTCTTTTGTTATATATTCCCTCCATTATTTTTATCTCTTTGACTACTCAACTAAAATATCTATTATCCCCATTACTAAAAATACCCAGGTACCTATCATCACTTCCCCCTTTGACAACCACCTCAAGGTGGAAGTAGGGAAACTGCTCCTTCAATTGGCTACCCGATTCCCCTCTTTCTCATTGAGGAGAGTTGCATTCTCTTGGATCCTATGGCTGATTCAGCGATCTCTTGAGACAGTTTCTCGTCTTCTTCCTCTTTTTCTAATAGTCTTTCATTAAAAGTTAAAACCAATTGATAGTGTTTCATTTGACATTCATGTTCTTTGTTCCATTTGTCTCCACACTTAAAGCATAGTCCCTTCCTGCTCCTATCTTGTAACTCTGTTTGAGTCAACCTTTGGCCTTCCTTTATGGTTGAATTTTGCTCTGTACCATCCCTTGTTTTAGCTTCAGCTCCAGTTTTTGCAGATATGTGGGGCTTATTTTGGTTTGTTATCCACTTGCCTCCGTCCATCTAGTTTTGAGGCTTTGACAGTGTTCCATGACTTCCATCAGTTTCCTTCCACCTTCTTTTGTCTTCCCCACAGTGTCGTTCTGCCCGTATGGCTGTGTTATTCTCTTCTAGCAATAGGGCTCTGTCCTTGAGTTCAATCTGCGAGCCTGAGTTGTAGAGCTTGAGCTCAGCTCTAATATCCTCCTTCAGACTATTCATGAATTTGCCTTTCAGCATTTTTCTATCAGTGTACCTTAATGGTGCTACCATTTTGTTTGATACTCGGCATCGGCCCAAATGGGGTTTGCACCTGCCCTGGTTGAAACCGACGGATGAAAGCCTCCTTGAATGGTTCCCAGCTGCGGTCCTGTGATTGCCTTTCCCACCATTGGAACCGGTTCAACACTTTTTCCTCCATCGCTATCACAACTAGTTCGACCTTCTCCTCTTCCAATACATCATTGAGTCGGAAACATCTCTCAACCCTAATGATCCATTAATAAACATTTTCCCAGTTGAACACTGGTAGGTCAACCTTCCTTCCTGTTCAGATTTGTCCTCGACGTGGTGATTGCTCACAGATGACTGAAGACGATGGAAGATTAGCGATCCATCTTGCGATCGGGACGAGCTCTGGTTTTCATAAGGTGGTTGTCGCCTTGATGTTCCCGATCGTCCTCTGGAATGCCGAGGACCTTGGTGCAAAATCAAGTTGCGGAGATTGTCGATCAATGTACGCATCTGTGCTACATTTCGCTTCACGTTTTCCAATAGGTTTTCCATCCTTGCACATTTCACGGTCATCCACAACTCATCAGGTTGATGCTCTGATACCAAATGACTCCAATAATAAACAATAATGAAGAAGCCGAAAACTAGAAAATAGAAGAAGAAATAAAGTTGACTCTCCCAGCCTAGATCTAACCAAATCCCAGCCTCCTTTCTACCTCCCTTCCTCCTATTTTTATTCGTACTCTAGCCTCAATATGCCAACTCAACTCTTTTGTTATTTATTCCCTCCATTATTTTTGTCTCTTTGATCACTTTACTAAAGTATTTATTATTTTCACTACTAGTAATAACCAGGTCCCTATCAAAATCCTCCTTTTCCTTCGGTTCTTTTCTTTTCCGTATTTTGGGACATAGCCGGAAAATAGAAAGAGAACAAACAACAATAACAACAACATTACCCCAGTGCGGCAAAGGCACTTACGGTGGGGTAAGGGGGTTGGATGTACACAATCTTACCCCTGTACTAGAGCATAGGGAGACTATTTCCGGATGACCCATGATGAAAATCGTGTCGAAAATTGCATGGACTGATTGCTGCTTCATAAACGTTGAAAGTTTAGTGAACCATTTTGCTTTATTCCATCATATTCCCAAGGGAACGAAGAAATAGGTAATAAGACGCCAAGCTTGTTTTCCAGCATCACCCATTGGAATCTCGTATTGATCTATATCCTAGCCCTCCTTGTTCCATTGTTTCATTGCTTTATTTAAGTCTTTAAGAGAGGAAGACCTTTGTGTGTTTATAACAAGTCTCTAGAGCATATGCAAATCCAGAAATGATGTGGTGTGGATCACATGCATTGACAGCAAGCAAGTTGTGAGTGCAGGAGCTTCTATGTTATGCGGTTGGCAAGATGCTCAAGAGGATGGTGCGAGAGGAAAGCGTAGCGAAGCAGGGGAGACTAAATGGGTCTGACTAGCTGATGGAGTGGTGAAAATAAATGTAGACGCTGCTCTAGATGTGCACCAAAGCCACCAAGGAAACCGTGCTTGGGGTTGGGCAGTGAGGGATGCAAATGGGCACTCTATTAGAAGCGTAAGTGTGAGGTGTACAACCGGATGGTCTGCTAATATAATGAAGGCAATAGGGGTTCGGGAAGTTATAGAATGGGCCAAGGAACAAGCTTGGCAACGAGTTGAGATGGAGCTGGACTCGTTAATGATGGTGACAAGAACTTTCGAAGAGGAAGTTTTTTTTTTTAATATGATGATATCATAGAGGATATTCATCATCTTCTTTACAATGATTCTTGTATTTTAGTTAAATTTTGCAAAAGATCCGCCAATCGTTTTGCAGTTTTGCTCACTCCATTGCGAGAGCCGCATTGCATAAGTCGGATGGTAGGGGTGTTTTGTTAATCCACCAATGTGTATTTTGAGCCAGTTCAAGTTGGCAAGTGATTCTTTGGATTAATAAAATTTGGCGATTTACAGTTAAAAAAATACTACAACTACAACATTACCCCAGTGCTGCAAAGGCTCCTACCTACGGTGGGGTAAGCCCCCGGATCTATGCCTATATTTCAAAAATGACCCATACTGGCCAGGTCGACCCAGGACCCGGCGACTCAGACCAAAACCTGGTCCGGTTAGTTAAAAACCCGAAAATGGCTAAAAACCGGAAAAACCTGGTTGACTTGGAAAAAACCAGTCTGGACCTGGACCCCCAAAAAACCGGGAAACCCGGAAAACCCCAATTTTGATTGTTTTTGGAAAAATGTTAACATTGTTTTTTAATTTGTAAGAATTTTTTACCCTTAAAATTGCAATTGCAATACCCTACAAAAATCTAATATATTTATATATTTATTTAAGAATGAGAATCATGTCATATTATATTATAAATGTACAATATAAATAACAATTAACAAATATCAATATATATTTTAATAGGATCAAATTTGTATTTTGGAATATTATGAGACTATGAGAGTGTTTTAAATGCTTATTAAGTATTATCATTAGTTGATTATTATGAATAATAACCACTTGTTTTATAACTATAATTTTATATATAATTATATGTTTATTATTTTTATTTGGTCGTGTGATTTTTGATCAGGTTTCCAGCATTGACCGGGTTGACCCACCGTGTTCGGGTTGACCCGTGACCCGATCATGTGGCCGGGTCGCTTCTCGGTCTGATTTTTTAATTGTGCGCAATCTTACCCCTGTACTAAAGCACAAAGAGACTGTTTCCACAATTCGGATAACCCATGATGAAAAGTGTGTTGAAAATTGTTTGGGCTAACCGTTGGTTCACAACAGAAAAGCACAGACAATTTAGTGAGACATTTTGCTTTATTCCTTAATATTCCCAAGCCAAAAATATCGAGTCTTTGGCTCCATTGGAAATCATGGAAACAAAAAAATTACTTCAAGCCACTTATATATTGGTAATCATGTTGGTAATCGATCATTATCATTTGACAGTGGGTAACTGGATTATTAATGCTCTTATCATAGACTTAATTATGTGCACTAGAAGAGGCTTTAGTAAGGCTTTGTGCTTCAAGCCCCCCCCCCCAAAGCAGCCAAGCTGTGTCAGCCTATCAGGGACATAAAAGCACATGAAGTGCATGAGGTGCACACTTAAAGCACCTAGGTATGGTTAGGATACTGAGCTGATTATTCTTTCCACAAAGGCTTGGCCCTATTACATCTTTACTAGCAATGTTTTACTCAAAGTCACAACAGCTTGTTGCCAACAAGCCTTTGCACCTAAATAATCAGGGGTGGAGCTACGGGGTGGTCAGCCGACCCTCCTGAAAGTTTGACAGTATAGAGCTTTGAAATATCTTCGTTTTGATATATTATGGCTCCCGTAACTCTTTACGAGTAAAAAGTTATGACTTCGGCAAAATCAGCACTATTTAAACTTGAAATTAGTAAAATGTGATGCGTAATATTAATCATATTCACAAAATAGCATATAATTCACTCGTTACTTACATGATATGATTTAGGGACAGAGCAAAGACAATATATGTTACTGCTATGGTGTCTACTCAATAGCCGATTCTTTTCTAGTAAGAAATCTTGATATTAAACCGCGTGAGAGGAGAACTATCGAGTACTAGGGTAAGACAATGGGCCTCATCCGAGTTAATCACTGGTGCGGAAATCCGTCGACTAAACCCGTATAAAACAAGTTTATATAATATATATATATATATATATGACATATATCAACTATATATACTCTATTAGTTTAATTTGAACTACCATTTATCTAAACTACATTCAATTCGTGTATTGTCTAAAAACAATCTACTGTTTTTATTCTATGTAAAGTTGATTTTCGACCCTCCTGAGTCATTTTTCTGGCTCCGCCCTTTGCCCTTTTTCTCTTTATTGAGTACATATTGAAGAGACCATGCCTTTCTAATTATGCAGGAACTGAAATTTTCAGAGGAAGAGATACAATCATCAGATGCACTTACAGAAATGAGTCATGGACACTGGGAAGGATGCCACCGATCTGAAATATTTACACCTGAAACAATCAGCTTAATGGAAAGGTTCCAACCTGATTTTTCCCCACCATCAGGAGAATCATTAAGGCAGGTAGAATATAGGATGGTACAGTTCCTCAACGAGACTGTGGTGGCATTGCCTGAAAAGTTCAGATCTGATTTCTCCCCGCCGGATCAGATCAATGGCCAGGATTTCTCCAATAATGTCCCTCTTTCTCACACAAGTTCTGTTCCCCATTTGGATTTGCTCCACAGGCACCGACAAGGACCTATTAAAAAGAAAACTGTCAAAAGTAGGCTCCAGATTGTTGTTGCTTCAACTGGGGATCAGGCTGATGATGAGATGTCCCCTCGTGTACAAGTCAACCCCATTTCGATTCGTGACATAAATACCAAAAGTGCCCTTTCTGTTTCATCCTGTGTGGGCATCTTCACCCATGCGACCCCGATCAAGTGTGCTCTTACTGGGATTCTTGGGTGCAATGCAGTAATGTCAAGTAAGATCTGTATAGAAGATTCTTCTGTAACCGTGTTACAACATTCATGGAAGAGGGGATGGCAGATAAAGAGACTGAATGATTTCTCACATCTTAGACTTCTATAGTAAACATTATTTCAGTATCACGGAAGAGATTATTTTTACTGTACACTAGTCTTGCTACATAAATTATGCCCAGAGAAAAACCACGTTGAATTCATGCCGCAGCTTGGGGAAACCACATTTTGATTCTTGTAAGAGTGTGCTATTTTTAAATTTTGATTCCAATTCTAGGGTAATTGCTTTGGTGGTAGAAGTTGAGACCGAAGTGCGAGCCTGACACAACCAGTCTTTCCCTTGTGTCCTTGAGGTCCAAGGTTCGAGACCACCCTCTTCCAAACAGTGGCTTCGACTATGCACTTCATCAGACCCTCCATTGTGTCCCAGGCCTCCCAGCTTTGGCACTTGGCACACCGTTTTATACGAGTGTTCGGATTTGGAATCACTGTTTTGTTGATTATATGCCTGTTTGTTACATTGTCCAATGTTGTTCCTCTGATGTGTGAAATGTGTGATACATAATACATCTCATTGGATTATTTTTCAATCGTTTAGTGCTCCACACCTAGTCCAGTTAACTCAATCCAAGTGCGGCAAGTGGTTTTATGAATTTTGATTGAACCAGTTAATTTATTTAATTCAAACTCTTTGTTTGGTTTGACTCAATTGCATATGGCTTAATTTAGTGACCAATCTGATAATGATTCCTTTCTTGTTATATTCTTTTATTTACTAAAGCCAAGCATTGTTCACTTTTTTGGTTCCATATTAGATACCCGTCGATACATAGCCAAGAAAAAATTATCCATTTCAATAACAGATTGTTACAAATTATTGGAAGTTTTTTCAATAAAAAGATTGTTTTTGATCGACCAAACTTATATTTGTAATAAAAAATACTAAATAAAATCATGCAAATAGTAATGACAGAAAAATTAAATAAAATTTAAAATTCATAGATGAATATGTGAGTAAACTGGAGTTTAACTAAATTTCACGAGAGAATTAAACTACAATTAAGACTGATAAAATTAACTGGCAGAGATGATTAAAACTAATCTTTAAATAATCTCAACTAATACAAGCAATACAGTGAATAATCAAATATGAGTGGATTCTTGCACCTAATAATGAAGATTATTTTAACTAAAAGTTGGACTGTTTTCTCCCTCAAAGACAAGAACTGAATTAACTCCATTAATTTATCTCATCATAAGTATTCATCAATGTGTTTAAAATGGTTCACTTAAATACAAGTTAGAAATAATTTCCCAAGTCTTGAATTAAAATTTTCCATTAATTCATTCTTTCTCTAGACTTCATATTATTAATGTGCTCAATGTTACTGACTTAAATTATTTTATAATCTCATAGACCAATTAGAAACAATTTTCCAAAATTTAACTAACAAAATGAACAAATTCATTAATTAAGGTGCTGTTCTGTTCGTCTTATTCTTATTACTTATTGCTTATTCTTATTTTATTCAGATCAGATCAGAACTTAATAAATTCAGATCAGAAACATTCAAATCAGACGGAGAGAACAACTTCTAAGTTAATCATTTTAAGCAACTAGTCCAAATAGTCATTTTCACCACCTATTTTTTTCAATCCAAGCCAATCCATATTACTTAATTCAATTAATGTCTTGAAGTAAATTAGCTACAACAATTTATTAATAAATTCACCAATTTATAATCTAAATTAGACATGCACATTGATAACAAAAAGCAAATATTCAGAAATTAAATTCAAACTTTGCCAACTTCGAAAATTTTCTTTTCTTTTACAAATGAAGATGGGTGTACAAGTTCACTATTCTATCTAATTATGAGATTATAATATAGAAACAACTACTAATTTCTTTGTACTGAAATATAAATATGAAATATTAAATTAATTATGTGCATTTTACACTAAAGAAGATAAAAACATCACATTCATAATATAAGTGATGAGAAGATGGAAATACATATAAGGAGCTTAGAAATTAGAACTAAAAAGAGAAAGTGGTTGTGATACTCCAATAATTTGAGTTGGAATTAAACTAATTATTTTACCATTTGGAAGACTCCTAAATAGCTTAAGTAAGTTTTGTTTAGTGTTTAGGGTAAAAAAGAGGGTCCCAAAAGTTGCAAAATCTGAGCAAAATTCAAAGTTTGAGGAACCACCTAGCTGCACACGGAGTCCCACACGGAGTCCAATTTGCGTTTTATTTTTCTTGTGCTACTTTATTTCAAGTATTTTGAAGAGGTCTTGGTCTAGTTTCCTCGACATTTGCCCCACCAATGGGTGGTTCGCCTTCCGGGTTAAAAAAAAGTCCCACACGGCGTGTTCACGATCGTGTGTAGCAATGGACTCTCTGCCTAGTGCACATGGCGCATGCACCGAGTTTCGTATCAGCGTTTAAACACAGCGTGTGTACGACCGTGTCACCCGTGTGCATATATATTTTCACCTTAAACGTCCAAATGTTGACATGTGTGTGTAAATGCACCCTTATTTGTGAATTTTCTAATTGTTGGAACCCTAGAGCTATTTTCTTGAGCTTAGTCATTCTCAACCCGTTTAAGAAGGAATTTGGTGCCAAGAAATTGTCAATGTGTATTAATCTTCCGCTAATTAAGTGCGTTTCCTGCCAAATTCATCTATTTTCTTTGATTCCATACAAGTCGATGGCCCCTATTGAGGGGGGGGGGGGGGGGGGGGTTGAGAGATTTGTAAGATCTTTTGGGAGATCTTGAAATTGGCAGTGGAAGTCCTTGTCTTCTTATAGTGTGACACTTATAGTAACAAATGTTATGACCCTTTGAGTTTGACAGAGAGATGGTTTAAACAACAATTAAAATGTTATTGAACTGGCTAAGGACTCCTTATGATAAGCAGCAGGCTTCTGGTAACTTGGTCTAGCAAAAGGTGTCAGAGACATAGCTGCAATCTTCTAGTCAATTCAGTGTAACAACAAGCTAGTCCGCTGATTGCTTCTAGAGTGTGGTAAATAGTAATTGAGGTTACAATCTGTAAACACTTTAAGCTATATATGAATACTTTGAAGAATGAGATGTATCGATAAAGAAACATGGAACTTTGTGTGGGATGAGAATGAACCAGACTTGTACTATGCAAACTGGGTATATAGAATAAATCTATATTAGTGCAACCTGCTGATCAATATAAAAGCTATTTGGATATGTGTTTAGAGAATGATAGGGACGAGTGTGGTTTATGATGGTGTGAGCACTGAAGGTAAAGAGGACACATGATATATCCTTGTTCAGAGGTGGTATAATCCTCCTACATCTAGTACCATCCTTGATCTGATGGATTTCCACTAAGTTATTATCAACCAATACACATAGTGCCTAATGTACCCTAGATTAAAAGGTTTTTCACGAGGAGTAAACACCACTCCAAGCTACTCAGTCCTACATTCTACAGTTTTTTCACTACTAGCATTGACTCGCTAAAGTTACCCATGTCCTGCCTTTTACAAGCATTTTCACTAATAGCATTTTCTTGCTAAGAGGTACTCTTGTCCTTCTTTTAAACTCTCTCTAGATTTGATTACGAAGCCCTCCAGAGGTTACAACCTGTTTAGTTTACAAAGAAATCTAAACATCCAACTAATCTAAGCTCTAAATATATTTCTGTAAGCATTTTTAACTAAGAGCTTAGTGAAGTGGGTGAGCTAAGAAAACGAGTGATAGATTAACATTTGCCCATTTGCTAGATATGTCATTTAGGAACATATGACATTCTTAGCTGCACACTCTTAACTCACCACACTTCAATTCCTTTATTTATAGTTTTGAGTTGTTGAACATATCTCGTTGACCGAGAAGATTTAGTCTTGCTCGTTGAATGATCCACTTGGTGACTATGAGGCAGCCTGGCTCTTTTTGGCTTCTTGTGTCACGAGTTTTGACTTCATTGTTTTTATTTGCTGTTTGAATTATTTCCCCAATGAGATAGATAAAGCTGAGATCTTCAGATATTTCTACGTCGTGCAAATGGGATCTCAAAAATATCTCGAGAAATAATTGGAGACAAAGTCTTCATCCGTTGCCATGTGTGCCTTTATACATGGGTCCCTTGTCTTTTCCTTCACAATTATTAAAGTACTATTCTACGTACTACCTTCAATAAACTTCAAGAGTCCGGAAATAATCACACATGTAGTTTTACATATTTCAGAATGAAAATAAATTTTACTTCTACGTGTTTACAATTTTACAGTCTCCAGACTGGTGGGTCCCATGATCACATGTTGCATATTTTGACTTAGCTGCAAAAATGAAAGTTGTAGAGAAGAATATGACGATCAACTTTGCTTCTTCCAGCAAGCTCAAATTCTGATCGATATTTGTGCAATAGGCTTTAGTATGTGTGAAGCCTTGGTTAACAACACTCTGGAGTTTTGCGTGAGTAAATTTGCTAACAACAATCTACGGTTTTTTGTGTGAGCAAATTTGCTAACAACAATCTACTGTTTTTCGTGTGAGCTAACAACAACATGCTGTTAGGTGTAAGTGTGAGATCAAAATATCAGTTGATTCTTTTGTGCGTACTTTTTTCTCCTTTTTTCTCTTTTTTTGGTACGTCCTTTTCTTTTTCTTTTTTTGGTACTCTTCTTTTGTTTGATCCTTTTCATCTTTTGAGCACTTTTTAATGAGATGTAGCAGGTATTACAAATATTACAACCACAATGCTTTTATCTAATACAGGTGCATCATCAAAATCTAGAACATAAAGTTGTATAGACACATCTTGGTTGTGGCATCATAAAAAAGGGAGCTTAGACCCTTCATCCTTTGGATTTCCTCGTGTTGTATAACTGCAAGGTCACTACAGGAAGGAGTATTGATGGTATGTAATATTACCTGAAGAGCTAGCTCGGGCTGGACCTCTTCAAGAGTCGTTGGAGCCGGCTGGGGCAGCAGAGGCTACCAGTGAGTGGAATCTATCTCAACTTTTTCTTGAGCTCTTGAATCTTTCTCCTGAATATTGAGAAGTTTATTTATCATTTCCTCAAATTTTCTAAGCTTACCATTCATCTCCCTTTGTGTGGCAGCTTGCTGGATATTGGCCTCTTGTTGTGTAGCTAGCTGATTCAACGCGTGTTGCTATGAATCCTTAATCATCTGGGCTATTTCTTCCTTTTTGAATAGATGGATGAGTGGTATAAATAGTCTCCAATTGATTGGGCTATTCAGATCAATTTGAGGTGTAGATAGAGGTGTACCGTGCTGTTGGTGGGGTTGACTTCATTTCCTGTGGTTACTTAGATGTTTCTCCAGGCTATTTTCTTGTGTCAGTTTTGGAATGCTTTATCACCATTCGTAGTGTCGCATCATTATCATCCTCTGATCTTCTTTTTCAATAATTAGTTTCATCTTTTCATTGGGATTAGGCCTATGATTATCACCATAAAAAAGATTATCATTATTGTCTGATGATTTTTCTGCTTGTGACTTGGATCCCTGGATCTGTTTTTTCTTTCGAAGGTGCACCATGTTGAGGAAGTGCTTCGTGGTTGCTAAGGCGAGGTTTGTGGTTTCCAGCCAGTTTAGATCAAATTCCCCCTCCTGAACCATTTATGGTACACCTCTATCTACACCTCAAATTCCCCCTTCCAGTGCTTCAATTAGGGATGAAAGCTAGAATCTCCAAGATTTTACTCTGTTGT